GGCATATTACTGTCAGTTTTGGTCTAATTACCTTCTATTTATCCCGATAGTTTCAAATATCGAAACGAAACTTTTGTTTTTTGTTTTTCTTTTTGTTTGATAAAAACACATGATCCAAATTTTAGAGATCTGTCTTAGTAGAAACGAGATTCACCAAGTTTTTTTTTTTATTATTATCATTCTTATCAGTTAATTGCCTTCTAACTGCCCCAATAATTACAAAATATCAATACAAAGCTTTTTTTTTATTTTGCTCATAATTACGAAGCATTGAAATTAATCTTTTTTTAGTTTTTCTTTACTATACCATAAAGAATACATGGTCCAACTTAAGATTTCTATCTCAGTGAAAATGTATTAGCATAACTGTCAATTAGGCTAAGTACCCCAATAATCACAAAATATTAAAACAAATCTTTCGAAATTCTTTTATTTATTTTATAAAAAGTACATGGTTCAAATTTGAGACAATCTCGGTAAAAATATTTCAATTAGTAGCATTTATCAATTAGACTAATTACGTCATTATTACAGAATATCCATTTTAATATATTTAAATTTTCATTATTATCTCATAAAGAATATATGGTCCAATCTTGAGATTTCTATCCAAGCATTTTACTTCTTATCTTTGTAAAAACTTGTTATTCAGCATTTCTGTCAGTCAAATTAATTACCCCGATGATTACAAAATATTGAAATTAAGTTTTTCAATTTATCCATAAGGAATAAATTTTTCAAATTTTAGTTTACATAATAATAAATAGTTACATAAACTGAATTGGATAATATTTGCTTTTGATGCGCGATCTTACAATGAGAAAACGCAATCTATCGCTATCTTGCGCAATGTTTCTTGTTATTGTTGTCGTAGACCGTTAAGGTAAAGGGTGGGATTGTTCTTGCTTTCCAGCGGCACCATGTATAGCGGCACCATGTATAGCGGCACCATGTATGCCTCACCCATACTTCGCAACCGTTTATAGGGCGAACCCATCCGTTCATTCACAAATCGTAATTTTGACCTGAACCAGAGAACGATCAATCTCCAATTCAGCACACCCAGAGGTACATTTTGGAGTACAGAGGTACAACATGGAGAGCTTTGTGACGCGACAGATTTAACGTGCACCATTTACAACACGGGGGAGTCTTCGGCCTACTGGATTCGAACTCCCATTCTCACGAACGTGAGTCCAGCTCTCTGCCAAACCAGGCATTTTGCTTCGTTGCGACAAGATATAAAAAAAACATTTCGTACTTGAAACCAGAGTGGCCAATGTTCATCGAGATTCCACATCGGTTATGCGTTTCCATCGTCAAAACTTTTACTGGGAGTAAAAATACTCCTTGTAAATTATTAGTTTTGTTAAAGAAAAGAAAATCCATTCACAAATCAGTAAATCGAATTGTGTTTTCCTAGATAAATGCTTGAAAATAATAGACTTCTCTGAATACATCAATAATGAATTTAGAGACATGTATCCTAAATGCAGTAAATTGATTGTTATTAGTACTACTTAACAATGTCAGTGACTGTTTAAAGAGTATTTGCGACCAAAAATGAAATAAAATTAAACAAAAAAGAAGAAAAAAACTAGCAATGCTTGAAAGAAACTAGCACTGACATTTTCAGATAGTAGTAGGAAGTGTTAATTTTGGCATGCATTTTGGATATAGTGCAAAACTGTGGAAATAAAAAAGCTGCACAAAAAAAATAAACTGCACAAAATATTTCATTAGTAATTTTATTTATTTATTTATCTTGGATACCTTAGTTTAATTAACTAATATGTAGTGTAAAAAAATTGTGGAACAATGTTTTAGGTAAAATATTCAGTTAATTATTCCAGCTGACTTAATTTACATAAGCAATATGCCAATTATAAAATAATCTGTGTTAAAAAATGGCAGTGATCTAAAAATTTCATACTGTTTCGTAGCTCAGTCCTCGATTTTAAATTCCCTTTTACAAAAAATAATAGTCGAGAGAAATTACTCACCAAAAAATTATTTTGGATAATACTGCCAAAAACAAAGATAAAAAAAAACAGCGAGTGAAGTCTTAAAAATTATGAGAAGTACTAACAGTATTTTTTTCTGTACAAAGAACAATGATCCTCTCATATTTCTACAATTTATCTCCAGTAATAATTGAATCAAATATTAGAGACACGTTGACGTTAAGCAAACTTGAAAGGTTTTTTTGGTCCTTCTATATAATTAACTTAATGGCTTGCTAATTTCAATTGGAAAGCACTTCTCGAAGACGAGTTCGTTTCTTCGTTAATGTTCAGTTTTTAAGTCAAATTCAAATGTACTGATACAATGAAGCAAATGTTAATGCATGTCATGAGAAACAATCCAAAAAAAAAATTAAATAAACTAAGTTTATAAATTAAGTTTCTGTTTCATAACGTGTAGCAAAGATGACTGCAGCAGCGAATCTACTCATCATTTTTTTAAAAAGAGAATAATAATTTTATTAGTTCTCCTTCAAGTGGTGCAAAAATTATGCATTTATCTCCTTTAGGACTTGAGATAAGATATATGTAATTTTTCTCTTTTTGAACTTCAAGTGATGCTAAAACTAAATGTTTCTTTTGTGAGATAGTGATTAGTCATAGAATAATTGAGCATATAAAAAAGTTAAAAAACATTATAGTCAAGGGCAGTCTAGTTTCTAGTTCAAGCTATTTCAAGTTAATATTTTATTATATGTAGTTTCTTGTTATGAGAGAACAAGTGATATAAATCCTTTTTCAAGATTTAGTAATATTTTAAAAGTTCCTTTGTGAAATTTAAAAAAAGAGATAGAGAAATAAGTCTGGGATAAATCTTATTTTAGACTAATCTAAGCACTTCTTTTATCATTTTTTTTAAACTGCAAAAAAATCATCATATTCTTTTCTTCTATTGTTAATCGCTGCCAATTCTTTCATAAATTTTCTGAACGATTTCAATTTTTTATATTTAAAAGGGTAAAAATTTTTATGGTGTGCTATAAAAATCTATACTTAATAATGTAAGTTAAAAAGATATTTCCCATCAATACATGCAAATAATATTGCGAAAATAAATAATGCTATCTATTCCTCAACTGGGCAAAGACTTATAATCTGCTCTTTGTTTTGTGCATGCAAGCCTGCATGTGTATGTATTACGATTGGCGTATATTTATAACCAGTGTCAAGGTTTTGCAAAATATAAAAATACTTCAGCTTATATTGGCATATATATCAGATATAATTATCTATTAATTATTAACTGTCAAATATTACACTGTTTATGCGATCAAAAGTTATGCTGCAAACTGTACATAAAAATGAAATTATTGCTTTCCTTTGCTAGTGACAGTTTTAAATAATGACAAACGCTAAAATTCAAATATCGATGTTCCACCGAAGCGAAACATTAGCGGCTGCAGTCAGTGTACGGGTATGTGACCACTTGATCAGCCTGCGAAGAGATCGAGTGAGCACGGTATCGGTCCACGTTAAACTGTTTTACCGTAAAGTGCTTGACTTCGGAAATAAAGCAAACAACGAACAGAAAAACTGTCAGCAAAACAAATTAGGTGCTTAAAAAAGAAACAGCTAAACTATCACTCAAAATAGCTATTTCGTCGTGAATTGAAACATTATTCTTTAAAATCATGAGCATGCGCCTATTTAGAAGAAGCTTGATGCTTTTCTTTATCTGATATTTCAGGCAAAAAGTTTTAAAAAAGGGTTACTAAAAAGGTAATAACCATAAAATAAATACAACCGAACCGCAAAATCGCTGTTTTGTTGGAAAGAGTGTTAGGGAGTTGTTTGCAAAATACACATGGCTCCATAGATTGATGCATTTAACAGGAAAATAAGTCGAGAAAAATATTTTGATTGGAGGTTCTGATATTGAACTGAAAAGCAGGAGACTCCTCAAGCCAGAAGCCTGAGAATCAGCATGTCTGTAACCGTCGAAAAAACTCACCGTGCAAGGGGTTAATTCCCCGGAGATAACTCAAATAATTATGCTACCACTTTTCACACTATTGAAAAAGTTCCCTTTCTAAAAGGAATGAAATTACAACGAGTGTACCAAGTGTAATATAAACTCTTTATACCAAACAAAACTGAATTGAGGGGGCTTTAAATTTTTAATAAGTTCGCTTGAGTCATGGTGGCTCAGGGATTAGAGGGCTTGCAACTCAATGTGGTGACCTGGGTTTGAATCCCAGCGATGGCTGGTTGATAAGAATTCTACTCCCGGCTTGCACCCGCCGCAGTGCTGAATTAAAATATCCTCAGTGGTAAATGGATTACTGGTTATAGTCCCCTTTCCGTCAGGCTAACCGTGGAAGGTTTTTCGAGTTTTCCTCGCTTCTTAAAGCAAATACGGGATAGTTATATCTAAAGGTCCCTCGACTTTTTCTTCTTCTTAGAAAATTAAGTTTCTTAGACTACTTGTTCAAGGTGCTCCCTTGACTTCTGGGTTAGGTTCAAAATTACAAGGCTCCGAAGTTGAACATTGGTAGTCGTAAACTCAAAATTGGGTCAGTAAATTGATAAAATAAAATATGTTCTATTTGATAATGAGTTTGCAGCTTTCCTTTTTCGTGAATTATCACTGTTTCACGACAAAGATTTAATTTAAAAAATATATAATATGTTTTTAATTAGGCGTAAAAAAGAGTTTATTTTCTAAATGTTCAATACATAATTATTTTGCAAAATATGTCAAAATCAAAAGAACATGAAACTAAATTCTTACTTTCTCTACAAATAAAGAAATATAAAACAGGAAACAGACGTGACAATTCTTTCCAATCTAGAACTCCCTGGCAAGAAACGGGGGGGGGGGGAATATNNNNGGGGGGGGGTGGGGAATATTATCAAAAACTTCGGGAACTAAAGAAGAGAGTTAATCAATTACTGAAGTCAACTCCAGCAGAAATGTCTGTTGGCGACCTAACTTTGGCGATAGATGAAGCCGCCAAAGAAAAGCGAGGCGTAAAAACCGCGTGGGGATGCACATTAAGGAAGAAGATATCCGGGATTCGGGATGGATTCTGGAGAATTTCCGGAGCTGAGGGTGAGGCTGATGACATGGGAAGATGTTCCTCAGGTGGCCGAAATATGGAAGGATACTGGGCTAGCTGAAGGAACTCACAGTATACATACGTGGTTCCGGTTCGATCCGGATGGATTTTTTGTTATAGCTTCAGATACAGGTACGTTTTTTAAAAAATTTGGGAATTTTTTTTTTATATGCTTATGAAGTATAAATCTGTAGAAAACGAAATTCTTTTCAATAAGGAAGCCCCACCCTGATAAAATTAAATTTTTTTTCACAAATATTTTTGCAGCTTACTATATAAAGAGTTTGGGGCAAAATAATAATAAGCCACATTTTCAAATTGTTCAGTGGAACGTTTTTGAGGAAAAACGCTATGACATTAAGATGCCTCTGTGCATTTTGCTGTTAAGTAGAAATTCATATATATATATCCNCAACTGTTTTAAATATATATATCGTTATTAATTTATTTTATTCTTTTAGCTAAAGCTAGTAATTTTTTTTTAACCTCATGAACAAAATCTACTGTTTTTCTGGCTTTAACGTTTAAATCATTTATCTGAGGCAGCGGTCAATTTTTAAAACCATTAACACCCGACTTTTTGGGAAAAATTGAAATTCCTTGGTTGCAAATGTATCTAAATAGGAAACCATGCATTACTAATAGATTGTCAGCCCTTTTTGAGAAAGTTTTTTTCTAGTCGTGGTAATATCGCAATTGATAATTGTAAGCATAATTTTATCAGTACCAAACATACATCAAGTAATCCTTTAGAATATACTCCCTCTGTCGTGTCTCCCTATGTCTCTACATTTGAATACTTTCGTATTATTTATAGAAACTGATACTTTTATGATTTTTTTTAGCATTTTTCAGAGACTTCTGAGTTCTATGCTATCAATGAACATTTACTTACTAAGCATCACCTCCTTAAATCCGTATCAAATCAGTTTCAAAAGTCCAGGTTTCACGCGCTCTCTAGCCAAGGTTCCTTTTCTAAAGACTCTAGCACCAGCAAATCATATAAAACTATCTTCTACTGAATGAATGTTGAATTCATTAGTAGTATAATGTATTAGGTGAATTAATTAGTAGTATAATATATAGTAGTATAATTAGTAGTATACTGTCGATCTACAAAATTACATTGGAAGCTATTTATGACTCCATCTACTTGAAATATAGCAACTAATTTGGAAGCGGGGGATTATATGTTTTATTTATTTGCGTATAATGGTTGGGAAAACCATTATAAATTTTGTTTAAAAAAACTGAGAATAAAACATCAATGCATAAATTTTTCGACCACTTTAAATACAAAACTAAAAACCTCCTTAAGAACTGAGAGAGTTAGCGGTTATGCTATTGCTTCAAAGTAAATAAACATGTTTTTAATGAAATAATTGTGCTACCAGTTTTCAGTTTTTGAAGGAAAAAGAACTGTACCTAAATGAGAACGTTGAGGGTTAATAAAATCAACCATTTTTATTTAACCGAGAATAAAGTAAAAATGCATAAAGTTATCTACAACCAGAAAAACAATTTTGGCGTACAAGAATGTTATGTATGAGATAGCTGTTAACATTTGAACTTTAAAAGAAATGTTTTTCTTGTGGTACAGAAATTATTAGGCCTACCGGAAAGTTCTGTCCTCCTAAGTGCTCTCCTCCTTTTACACTAATCCAAAATATTCTTTTATGAAAGAAAGTTGTAGGGTATTTTACCCTTTAACTAAATGGTAATATTCTAGATTAAAGAGACACTTCATATATGGTGCAAACAGGGGAGCCGAGATGTGAGGTTACCGGGAGGCCACTGTGACCTCCCAAACATTTTTATTATTCGAAAAATTTTACTTGGCCGTTTGGCATATTAACGAAAAATTTATTTATTTAATTTTATGTATAAAACACAAATGAAACAGTGTACGACGCGTCTTACTTTGTTTAAATTTCTAATTTATTTAGGAAAATTTAATTGTATAGCTCCGAGGATTTGGGGAGCAATAAATAGCAAAAGGAGTAGCCTTAAATGTAATTAAAATAAAATATAAGAAAAAATATCTGAAAATAAAAATTGGGGCATAAAAAAAAAACTTAGGAGAAAAGATTAAAAAGCTCGTTGGAAAGGAACTGCGCCAGAATTTTCGGAAATTAGCAGGATGAACTATCCGGAAACGGAGCCCCCTTGTGATTGTAAAAGAAAATCTTATGCACTTAACGCTGATAGAAATGTGTCCATTAGATTGATGGGATTCTCCTTCTAAACATCTTCGATGCTATGAGAAGAAAAAGTGAAAATTAATTCAAACTGCGAATTATCAAAAGTAATTTTAAAATAATCATGATCATTTCATCTGTTTCTGTACTGGTTTTATTTTATTTATTGAATTATTATTAATTATTATGCTTATTAAATAGAAAAATTAAGCATAAAGTCACGCTTACTATATTCGCTTTTTTTATTGTTGTTCTCTTTTTTTGAATTAAATAAATATATTTTTAAAAAGTTCAGCAAACTTTTCATTAATAACAATTTTTTTGCTTAATTTTCAACTACTGAAACTATATTTTGTAGCTCTTCTCGCTGTCGTGCCACAGGTCCCTGGTTCGATCCTCGGGCCGGGCAAGGTTGACTCAGCCTTTCATCCCTTCAATGGATCGTTAAATGAGTACCAAGCATGCTTGGGAACTAAACACTGGGGGTATCGCGTTCGGATGACCACCTAACCGGAACATCTGCTCCTGCACCCCAAAGCCCAAAGGTCAAGAAAACTGAGATGGGCACAGTAGGCCTTGGCCCTCTATGGGCTGTCGCCCCGCTGAGTTTAGTTTAGTTTAGAAACTATATTTTCATTTTAAAGCAAGATTCCCAGAATACCTATTTTATTTCCATCCGGTATTCCACGAGATTTGCCGATTACTAAATTATTTGTTATTCGATTCACATTGATAGTGAAAAATAATTCCCATAACAGACATTTGTGGCCAGGCAGGCGGTTTACGAACGTTAAATCTCCACAATGTTGTCAAAATTGCACATTACCAACCAGACAAACTGGTACCCATCGATCTGAAGCTGGGTGGATTTCAAACCGCCACTGAGCACTGAAACACACTTCACAACAGTTCAGTGCTTGACCAATCTCAGCTGATTGACTAGAATAATTAAGTATAAAGTCATTAAATCAATAATATATTGGTGAAAAAATTAACATATTGTAAAAATATTATCAACAAGTATTTATTATTTTTTATTACTTTATTCAAAAATAGACTAACAAATTTTAAATTTGTAAGGTATGCAAATTTTTACATTTTCAAGAATGTAATTTCGAACTTTGAACAAAACCGGTTGAATTGTTTCCGAAATATCAATTTAAAAAAAGTCTGATAGTAAAGAATTATTATTTATCTAATAAAATTATAAATTAAATAATTAATCTATGTAATTAATGTTATTTATATGAAAGGGAACTTTTTGCGTAAGAATTAATATAGAAAAAAACTGGATATCAGTTTTTCTGTTAATTTCCAAATTCTTAATGAAGTAAGGCATTGACTTGTTCGAATTTTGACAAGTATTTTTTTAGCTGCCAGTTAATATTTATTGCATTTTAGTTCGCTCACGATATAACTATCTCCCATTGTAACGTCCATTTTCGCCCGGACTACAAGGTACGTTATACTGAGCGTCAACTGTTTTAATTTTTAAGAAATGACATGATTTCGCTTCGATAAATATTAATAAGACTCTAAACACCAATTTCTGTTCCCATGTTCTGTTCTTCATCTTTTTTCTCTCTCGGCTGCTGGGGTTTCTCTAGTTTTTTTTCATCTTTATTTTTCCATTTTCCGTTGGCAACATAGCATTTTATAATTCAAATCAATTTTATTTCTTCCCATTCACGTCTGGTGGGTCTTGTAAAAAAAAAATATTTTAATTTTCGTACAAAACTGCGGAGCCATTGGCCGCGGGTTCGAATCCTGCTCAGGGCATGGATGTTTCTTTCTCTCTCTGTGTTCTATGTCCTTTCCTCATTGTGTGAATGTAACCCGCCCTGTAAACGGGTTTGCGGTTGTGTGACGTGAGCGACGCTGCTCCACCGCCGTGTCTTCACCGCCGTGGCCACAGGTGCCCACTGGGTAACGAGAAGAGAGTAGCAGTTCTGGCATTTCTGTTGCCAATGAGACAAACCCCAAGTGCCCGCCATTAAGGGAAAAAAATTGTACAAAAAAATATTAACTTTTATTAAAAAAAAAAATTTTGTAAATTGAATAAACTGAAAAATTTTAATTTATGAATTGAATAATAATTGAACTACATTCTAAATAGTTACCAATCTTGTTAAATTAAAAATCTATAAATATAAATCGAATGTCTCAGCTAATATCTAAATCGTCGATCTCTCAGTAAACAAGCGGTTAGATTAACCATTGTACCACGAATCCACGGAAGCTAAAAAGTTTTATACTGTAATAAAATGAACTAAAACTTTCGTGGGGCAGTAGCGGCTAATTTTTACTCTAAGATTTTCAACCTTTGAAATATTTACCAAGTAAACATGCCATACATTTAATTAGCATGTTTACCTGGTGAAACATCTCCCCACCATTACAACAGAAACTCAAATGAAATCAAAATAAAATTCTCCAAAAAAATAACAAGAGCAAGATTGTTTAGCCGGAATAAGAATATACATAATCATATCACAATGCTTAATTACAAATTCTTTCAAAATCCTTAAATTGCGATGCAGTAAGATTTAATGAAATATTTATATTTGAAAACTTGAAATAAGACGTGAAACTCAGGCCAATGGCTGTTTATTTTTGTAGCGTTGCATGCTTATCTAGAACACAAAATATTTAATTTTCTTTTTACTCCAATTTGCATTCCATTCACTAGAAATTACCTCCTTAATGTCAATATTTACAAAATGAATGGGGAACGAGACCGTAAACGACCTCAGGCGCCCTGATAAATTATAATGACGATAACGATAATTAGCATGTTTTAATTGCTAGGGCGGTCAGGGAAAAATATAACTGCCTTATCGCAAATTGTTATACATTTTGGAGTCAAATAAAAAGATTAAACTATATATATATATATATATGGAATTTGTGAAATCTCTTAAAAAATTAAAATGT